TGTATATATATATATATATATATATATATATATAACGATTTTATGGATGCCTGCTATGTATAAAAGTTACTGTACAACAATAAAAACACACAAAATAAATACGTCATGGATCTGGAGTTAAAGCGGGGGAGGGGCGTTTCCGCTTTTCCTGTCAATCATACGGGAAAATGGGCGTGGCAAGGAAGGACTTCGACCTATGAGAATATCGACATTTAAATTTAGATATGAATACATAAATAATTCTATTTGCAAACCTAAACACGCACATCCAGCGTTTCGGGCCGATTGATTGTCGATATAACGGGTCAAAGTCCCGAAAAACAGGCGTCGGTGTTACCGAAATATCCAGAAAACACGGAATCCGCTTTGAATCTCGATATGGAGGGACTTTAATGCCTTTAGCGTTAGCCTGTTAGCTTGGACTGCATGTGTGTGTGTTTATATCAACAATAACACACGCTCATCCACATTCACCACTTGAATACGAATATTATTGACATAATCGACGACTGATGCTGTTGAAAAGTGAAGCAGTGAAGGAAGCTGCGGGATCTTCAGGGATGTAGTGTTTGTTTAGGTGGGTGTTTGCTTCTCTACACATGTGCATGCGATGCATTACCTACTGAATCCGATAATCAGATAATCTGAATGGCAGGACCACGTACGTTTCAAATGCATGCAATAGGAATGTCTTTTGTACATTGATTTATAAACGCATATATTGGCATAACTGTTTATATATATATAATATGAGCATGCATCATTTGGCCTGCCTGTGTGTCGATCACGGTAAATAAAATTATGCATGATGTTATCTTTTGTTAAAACCTTGCATATAATGCATGCACATCATTTTGTCATTTGTGCATGAATTTCCGATGTTATGCATGTGACAGATCCGCTGTGACGTGGTGCACGTGACGTCACTGTGCATGCATGCGCGTAAAATTACGTGCTCGACGTGAGTTTCACATCTTAGACGTGGGTTTCAATGCGATCATGTCATTTGTCCGTTCAGTTTGATGTGACCAAAGCGGATTGATTGGAGATATCAGGTAGTAATCAGATGCTTCGGCTCAATCTAATCACTGCTTATCACTGGCTTTTGTTGATTATGAACAATAATGAGTGTTTTAACAATAAAGATATGTGATCTAGTGGCTTCACCCCCAAAAAACAAGCTCAGTCTTGCCCCGTCCGGTCTGAATCGACGGTTTCTCGTCCCTGATGCTTATGTCATTGGGGTTATTGCAGCAACCCTCTACGTGACCCATTGACCCGCGGCTGGAGATAAGGGCGAGCGTATTTAGGGGCTGATTTTCACCTCCCTTTTTGTGTCTTTGTGAAGACAGGAGCGCTCAGGCAACGTTGCACGACCGATACCGGAGTTGGAGCATTTCAGGCGTCCGCAATGGAGAAGACCGAGAAGAGGCCTGGATACTTCGCCAGGTGAGATGAGGTTGGGTTCGAATAACACTAAACAGGAAGCACTTGACAGGAAGTGAGAGCCGAGTGAGCAGACATTAAGGGCTGAAGTTGGTCGATCTGAAAGAGGAATTAATCATGTTGTTTCAGGATTAGGATATTTTAACTAACACAGATTTTGCTGTGGATCACGTTTCGCTGGTGTGAAAAACGTAAAGGAATAACGCATTTCTGCCGCATAAGAAACAAAATCATGCTTTGGTAATTCATAACTATGACATAAAAAAACGTAATTATGCTGTACTATGTTATAAGTATGACGCAAGTTACAATTATTACATAAAAAGTCAAAATTATGAGATGATAAGCCATAATTATGTCCTATAAAGTTGAAGTTGTGAGAAAGTCGGAATTATGAGATACTAAGTCATAATTATGACGTAAGTCGAAGTTATGATGTACAAAACTCGAAATTTGGACATAAAAAGTCATAATTATGACATACAATGTTGAAATTATGAGGGAAAAAGTCTGCATTTTGAGATACTAAGTAACAATTATGACATCAACATTATGAGATACTGTGTCATAATTGTGACTAAAAGTCAAAATTATTATATAAAAAGTCATTATGACGTACAAAGTTGAAATTATGAGAATAAAGCCATAAATATTACATACAATGTCAAAATTACGTGTAAAAAGTCAGAATTATGAGATACTAAGTCATAATTGTGACATAAGTCGAAGTTATGATGTATAAAACTCAAAATTTGGATATAAAAAGTCATATTTATGACATACAAAGTTGAAATTGAGACTAAAGCCATAATTATTACATGCTATGTCAAAATTACAAGAAAAAGTCAGAATTAAGAGATGCTAATTAATCATTATAACATAAAAAGAGAGATGTCATTATTACATAAGTCAAAATTATGAGAAAAGTCAAAAGTAATAATTATGGCAGACAAAGTCAAAATTATGAGAAAAAAATCCTAAATTAGATTAATTATGATTAGAATAATTACGATATAAAATGACAACATTATGAGATACTATTATAATTATTACATAAACTGAAATTATGACAGACAAAATTATGAGAAAAGTAAGAGATATTAAGAAATTAGAGGTGATTTATACAGTCAAACTCCAACAAGCATCATAAAAGTAGTTCACATGACTCATCCGTTATATTCCTCGTCTTCTGAAATCATGTGATCGCTCTGAATGCCGAACAGAATTAATATTCCACAAAAGTCCTATAATGATAAATCCACAAGAAATAAACGCTACACATCCCAGGAGCAGGTGAAGCACAACATAAAAGTACAGCAAATAACCGGCCCTGGACTCAACTAATACAGTATAATGGGCTAATTAACGAAGGACAGCTGTAATGAATCAAAATCCATGGAAACAAATGAGGAAACGATCAGAACGAGGGCATCAGAGCTAAACAGGGCAGGAGAACAGAAACTAAAACAAAACACAGAAGTCCATAATTGCTATCTAAAACCATTAAAAATCATTTTCAGTCATTTTTGCTGTTGTTGCACGCATGAAATTAGAGGTGATTTATACAGTCAAACTCCAACAAGCATCATAAAAGTAGTTCACATGACTCATCCGTTATATTCCTCGTCTTCTGAAATCATGTGATCGCTCTGAATGCCGAACAGAATTAATATTGCACAAAAGTCCTATAATGATAAATCCACAAGAAATAAACGCTACACATCCCAGGAGCAGGTGAAGCACAACACAAAAGTACAGCAAATAACCGGCCCTGGACTCAGCTAATACAGTATAATGGGCTAATTAATGAAGGACAGCTGTAATGAATCAAAAGCGATCAGAACGAGGGCATCAGAACTAAACAGGGCAGGAGAACAGAAACTGAAACAAAACACAGAAGTCCATAATTGCTATCTAAAACCATTAAAAATCATTTTCGGTCATTTAAATAAAAAATGAAATGTAAGTATTAGACGAAAAACCTATTAGAAATGTTGAATCATTAGAAATCATAATAATATGCTGATTTATTATCAGAGCTGGAAACTGTTGCTGCTTCATATTTTTTTGGAAATTGATACTTTTTTCAGGATTCTTTGATGAATAAAAAGTTAAAAAGAAGAGCATTTATTTAAACGAGAGTGAGTGTGTGTGAGTGAGTGTGTGTGTGTGTGTGTGCGTGTGTGTGTGCGTGTGTGTGAGTGTGTGTGAGTGTTACTGCAGCAGAGTCTCCTGCGGCTTCAGCTTTGTGTGTCTCTGGTTTGATCGATCGGCTTCCCCTCGTCGTCATACACCATTAGACAATCCTCTTCTCCGCTTTCCCTCTCGCTCTATAATAACCACAATACCTCAAGAACATGACGTGACATATTTCACCTCAAAATCATTAAAAAATATCTGAAAAATGCATTTGATAATGTACAGAATTCAGTAAAGAGAATTTGTGGTTAAATGTGTTTATTTTAGCTCAGTTCGGCCATCTTGGCTCTGGCCACGGCGGTTTCTTTGGATCTGGCACAGATTCACCCAGCAGAGGAGAAGTGTCATGAATCTGTGGCAGGATTTTATTTATTTTTTTATTATGCTGTTTCTTTGTTGCTGATAATGTTGTGTTTTTGTTTTCTGGATCGCAGGCTGAAGAAGAAGCGGCAGAGCCAATCAGAGAAAGCAGATGCAGAGCAGAACCAATCAGATTTGGAATCCAAGACGCCAGTCATCCGTGAGCCCGCTCCTATTGGTCGATCTCAGGAGAGGAATGCAGAAAGAGCGAGAGGATCAGGTGAACACATTGAATCTACATAAATTAGGGGTTTTAATGAAATTAATAAATTTTTATTTAATTTTCCTATTGAGTATCTATTTTAAATCTTAAAATTTCAAGAACAGTTTTGAGTAGGGCTACATTATTAATCAAAATAAAACCAAAATCGCCACATGGCTTAATTATTAGATGGCAAAGGCTGAGTTTTAATTGAATTGCATATGAAAACTATCTTCCCATACTTGTAATCAGAAGCTCTTATCAACAAAAGAGAAGCTACGGTTACGATATCCATCAAAATAAAAGTTAGGTAGTTGTCATTTTTAAATTAAAGAAATTAGTTTACAACTTTTTTTAATTCAGTTAATCGCCAAGGCAACATTTCTAATTTTTGTTTAAGATTTTAAGTTAAAATTTTCAGCTTATTTCATTAACTATTATTTCAGTTCAATATTTATATAGTTATATTATTTTATAATTACATTGTTTTATATATATATATATATATATATATATTAATTATTATATATTAATTATAATCAATATTAATTATAATATATATATAATTTAT